CTCCGCTCTGCAGAGGGGGCGCAAGGGCGCCCTACCTGCAGAGGCGCTCCCCGCGGTCCGCGCCGCTCGTACGAGGGACCAATGCGCTGTCTGTGATTAACAAAAGCCTCTTAGGGGCCTGTTTTGACATTAAGCTCTTGTAGGAATGTAGGTCCCAAGAGAACGTTTAAAACCACTTATATTCGCAACTAAAATGCAGAAAACCGTAAGTGACAAAGTGAGCCTTTGCACTTTTTCTTTCTTCTTTTTTTTTCCTTTTTTTCTCGTCTTGTTTTCTTCCAAGTGTCCCTTGCCCAGCTATTTACTTTTATGTTGACTACAATAAGTAAAACTGATTGCCCCCAAACATTTACCTTTGGGTATAGCTGGCTGGAACTGGGCAGTGAGGTACCCCCCAGACCTCAGATGCTGTCAGTGACAGCTCTGCAGGCAGAGGGGATGCGATTGCAGAGCAAGGCACTTGGTCATAGGGTCCCTGCACTTTGCTACAGAACCCCTCAAAAACCACAGTTCTATTCGGAAACAAGAGTCCTGATGCTCTTTGGTTAGATGTGCCTTTTAAGTTCAATATTCTCAGATTTCATTAGTAAGAAAATGGTTGCAGGTTTGGGGCACACCAGGTATAATTTCTCCCAGATCTGCCGGAGATCATTCTGAGGAAGAATGCAGAGGAGAAATTTTGATGTTTTCAAATATGAGGTAAAAGATTATACAATTAATGGGGGGCAGGCAAAATAAAGGAGTTTAAAATAACAATCTAGTTCAGAACCTGCTTATGTTTTGAGGTAATTTAGAAACAAGTCTAATAAAGGAAACAAGATGTTAAACACCAAATATTTGTATATGCTATAAGTATAAATGGTAATTGAGAATTTATGTAAAGGAGAAAAGAAACCCAAGTACAATAAATGTGAAAGAGTTCATTTCTGTAATTATTTATATTTCATAGATGTTTAATATTAGATTTCAAATAAAATATTTACACTGAATAAAATCTGTGAACTATTCTTAGTCCCCATGCCAACCTCAAGCTCACACCTGTATTAACATTTGTGGGCACGAGGTGGCAGTGTTGTAGACACTGTTTAGATAGAGCACATATCACATTGGAAAAAAAAAAAAAGCCCAGAGGAAGCTAATGGGTGTTACACGTAACAATCAGGTACAGGCACAGGTACATGTAACAATCAGGAAGTAATCTTGCCAGACAAGGCACAAAATATAAACAGATCATAAGAAGCTTCACTGTTGTTCTGGAATAATGTTAAATAATAAATACGAACCAAATACAATACAGTATAATGAAGTCTTTATAAAAACATTAGCAAATTATTTTGCAAAGCTTTAATCATAATTGGTTAGTAAAAAGTAGTATAGAGAATACTACTGTTTCTGAAGTGTTTTCTATAGATCAGATTTTTATAAGCTAACAAGTTTTCTAATGATTAACTATGTTAGAATCAAGTACTGTTTTTCTTTAAAAAGTAAGTCAGTGCTAATAAAATAGCCTTCTAAAATGCAGTAGTAAGTTGGAACTGTTATTCTAGAAAACAATGAGGTATATTATTCAGTAACATTGAACATGTGTGTTTTCTATGACCCAGCAATTCCACCTCAAGAATACACTTGAAAGAAACTGGTACATGACTACTAAGAGTCACATATAAGAATGTTCACAGCAATACTGCATACATATAAATAATCACTGACCAAAAACTTAAAAAAGAGAACATCATTTAATATCATAAATGATAACTCACAACATAAAATCTAGGATGGTAGTTAGCTTTTGGGGCCAGGAAAGGAAATGAGACTGGGATGAGATAATATAGAGAGTTCTCTAACAGTATTGATAACATTCCTTTACTTAACGGCAATAGGTATTTAGATTTTTGTTTTCTGCATCTGTGTGTGTATATATAAAATATTTTCTAATACACATAATATTTTATTTCACTATATCAAATACCAATACAATAAAATGTCAAATGTTTTAAGAGAATATAGGTAAAGAGAAAATGCAATTTAATATAAGCAATGACATTCAAAATGAGTCACACCATGGAAATATGTCCATGATATGTCATGTGAATAAAGCAAGTTGCAGAATGATAGCTATAGTTTGATTTCCATTTTGGAACAAAGAAAACTCTGGGTATGTCTATATACATGTGCAGTAGATGGTTATATACCTATCTAGATATCTTTACAAAAGGATATACACCAGACTTGATAGTAATTAATTCCGGGGAGTAGTGAATCCTGGGGAGTAAAAGAATTGAAGAATTTGCTTTTCTATTTTATTTGGTTTCATATTGATTGAAATTAGTTTAAAAACATTTATTACTTTTGTCATGATTTACAAATCAATTTAAAATAAATGCCTCAGGGTGGAAGTTAGGTAAGCAAAACAGATAAAGGTAGCCAAAAGTACAGACTGCCAGCTGTAAAATAAACAAGTTATGGGAATGTAATTATCATGGGAAAAACTCAGTTCTTTCCTTCCTATGTAGGGAAAAACAATTCTTCTCTACTGTGTCTTCTTTACTACTCACACAAAACACTTCTGGTCACCAAATGTGTGGGAGTTTTTCCCTGCTCCACCAGCTGGGGAGCATATAATTTAACTCAATTCTGACACTATCTACCTGCAGCATCAGATCCCACAGGTTAAGGACTCAGTCCCACAAGATTGGAGATTGAACCCGCAACCTGGGTAAGTGCCCTCACTGGGAATCGAACCTAGGACCCTTCGGTGCATGGGACGACACTCCAACCAACTGAGCCACACCGGCCAGGGCGGAATTGGAAATTAGTAGTTGAAATAAAAATTTACTAGATTGGTTTAACAGCATATAGGGAACTTGCAGTTAGATCAATAATGAACAGAGAGAGAAAAAGGAAAAAACAAGAGCAAAATAAACCCAAAGCAAGCAGAAGGAAGGAAATAATAAATATTGGAGCAGGAATCAGTGAAATTGAGAACAAAAAATAGAGAAAATCTATAAAGCCAAAAGCTAGTTCATTGAAAAGATGAGTAAAATTGATAAACCTCTAGCAATATTGACAAAGAACAAACGAGAGAAGACACAAGTTTCCAAAATAGGAACGAAAAAGGCAGTATCACTGTGGACCTCACAGGCATTAAGAGGAGAGGAAGAAAATACTGTGCACACACTATGGACATAAATGCAACCTTGATGACATGGACCAATTCCTTTGAAAACCACAAACTACCAAATTCACCCAAGAGGAAAAGATAACCTGAATATTCCTATATTAATCAAATAAATTTAATCTGCAGTTTTAAAAAGAAGAACCTTCTGGGGAAAAAAATTTCCAGGCCAAGGTGGTTTCACTGGAGAATTGTATCAGACATTTAAGGAAGAATTAACATCTATTTTATACACTCTCTTCTAGAAAATACAAAAGGAGAAAACGCTTCCGGGTTCATTTTATAAAGCCAGTATTACCCTGATACCAAAACTAGACAAAAACAGTACAAAAAAGAAAACTTCAGATCAGTATCTCAGGAACTTAGGCACAAAAACCCTCTGCAAAATATTAGCAAATCACATCCAGCAATGTACAAAAATAATTGTACACCATGACCAAGTGGGATTTATTCCAGGTATGTAAGATGGGCTCAACATTTGAAAATCAATATAGCCCTCTAAATTAACAGTCTAAAGAAGGAAAACCACATGATCTTACCAACTGATGCAGAAAGAGCATCACAAAAAGATGTTCACCATCACTAACCATTGGGAAAATGCAAATCAAAACTACAATGAGATACCACCTTATACCCATTAGAATGACTACTATAAAAAACAGACAAAAACAGAAACCAGTAAGGATTGGAGAGGAGGTGGAGAAATTGGAAGCTTTGCACACTGTTGGTGGGAATCTAAAATGGTACAGCCACTGTGGAAAATTTTATGTGGTTCCTCATAAAATTAACTCATTGGGCAATGACAGCAGTGGCTGGGAAAAGAGGTCAACTGGTATCCACAGAACAACTTATACTAGCCACTTATTAAATTTCTCCTCTGCTGGGGTCATCCTTTGGTGAGCATTCATCTGGGACACAAATATCTTCGCATTTTATGTCCATTCAGGTATCCCACAGATCTCTTTCCAGACTTCCTTGTCACCAGTTTTTAAATCATGTTCCTTTCAAATCCCTGACCATCCAGCCAAACCATTACCCACAACCCCTTAATTGGCATGTAAATCACTCACCAGGTCATTTCTCCTTCCAAGCAAAATAAATAACCAGATGCACTGCTATGACGTTCTGTCCACTGGGAGGATTTCCTTTTACCATTGTCAGTTAGGGATGGGTGTCCCAGAAAGGGGCTGTAAGGCTGCAGTTGTCCACTTTTTGGTGGTTGCCTGCATAACCACCTGTAAATCAGGCCCAAATTGTCTCTTCCTCTGTCAACTCATCACAGGAATACTTTCTCTGAGGCCAGAGGTACAGGCTGGGAGAAGGTAGGATGGCATGAGTTGGCATCATGGA